CTATCAAAAAGTAATATTGCAGGAACAGAAGCAAGAGGCCAACAGATTTTGAAAGAACTATGCACACAGATTGAACAGCTACAAGATAGCAACCAAAATGGCAGTCTCCATGACTGCGATGATGCTTTAAAAAACATGATTTGGGAAGATTTGAGGAATCCATCACGCTACTGGGGAGATAGCCAAAATGTTATTCCAGGCATAGTGTTGGATGTTGAGCGGCAGATCTTCAAAGATTTAATAACTGAGATTGTGATGAATGAAGCAAGCTTCTACGACGATCATTGCAGGGGATTTTCCGCAAACTAGGAGTTCCCATAATCTTAGATGAATAAATGGGCAATCTATCCCTCACTTCCCGCTTCAAAGTTTGCATCTTTAGTTACTTCTACAGGTTTAGGCTTATTTGACATTACCCTTCCAGAGTTTTTCTCTCTCTCTTGTACAACCCCAGCAACTCTTGCAGTATAAATTTAGATCGTTGCTGGCATAAGAACTGTATTAGAAACAAATATTAATTGTATATGAAGACAAAGGTACAAGTAGCATCCTTGTTTTCGAGTTCTGTTCAGGCACACTGTACAGATCACTAGGCCATCTAGGAACATCCAGGTCTTGAAAGTTAGAATAGAAAATGCAAAATGCAAAGGATAAGTGCTAAGTTCCAAACACTGCACCCTAGCAGGAAATAATTGTTACACACAAATAATCAAAATGAAGAAACTTGGCATGGAGTTTTAGTACATCATTAAACAGCAATTGATGTGAAACCAGCAAACCACTACTGTCATGGAATAGAAACTTGGCTACAGTTATGTCTACATTAGCATGGTGGTCACAGGTCGCCAACACGTTCTAGAGTCCAAGATAAAGTAAAATGAAGATATAAAAGGGAGAATCTTTCTATAATTTTTAGTAGGACCTTGGGTGGAAGAATTGAGATTTAATCAATAAAAGAAATTTTAAATTTTAAGCTCCACAGAGAAGTTTCTATAATCGTGCAATGCATAACCTAAACTAAAACTTTCAGAAGTATGTCTGATTACTCCCATGAGCAAAAGCCAAAGTGAGAAAGAAAACAGCCATTGACAGAGCTAAGACTTAAAGGTCAAGCTTCTAGTTCAAATTTCCAGGGCATACAAATTGTAAACGAGATAGGGATGGCATATATGCTAGGAAGAACAATATGAACAACAGATCCCTCAAACCAAAAAATATTAGAAGTGTTTTTCCCTGATGATTCTTTCACAACGCATATGATAAACCAAGCTCCTTTTCTTTTGATCTCCCTCAACTCGAAACATCGTTGATTAGGATGATATTAACGCGAGGCTAGAGTTGTTCGCCCAACCTTGTCTTCGTACTTCCTTACTAACCATTTCCAAATGCCAAATTAATTAGAGAAAAAAGCGAAGTAGTTCATATAAAACATAAGCATACCTCAAAAGTTTAGGTAAACTGGAATCTCTCCTTCCACAAAATTGAATCTTTCATTCTATAAGCTAATACCAGACAATACAATGTTAGTGATTTTCACAACCAGGAAAAACTGCATCCAGTCTTCTAAAATCCGCGTACAAATTTTAATCGAGCATCCAGTCTCCATCAAGTCCTAAAGAATCTTCTCGACCTTTCTTTTCTTGTCATACTGCTCATCTTCTGCTACAAACCAGGACGAAGACGTCTTCACACCATTGTTTGGAACCTTCGATTCTATCCTGCTACCGACAGGCTTCTTTCCAGTTCCAATCTTAAACTGCATAGTGGATAGTCTGTTCAGAGAGAGCTTTTCATCAGAATCGTACAAATTGTTCTTTATTGATTCAATAGCAGGAGCAAAAGTCTCCAGCACTGAGACATGTGTATCCACAAGACAGTTCTCCATGATAGGAACAAGATATTCTGTACTTGAATTGTTCAATATACTATCTGGAAGAACGAAAGAAGAAATTTCCTTTTCACCAAATTGCAGCGGGGGAGCAAAAAATGGGTTACTTTCTTGTGTTTGTTTGATCATAGCTGCATTTCTAGGGCCTTCTCTTTGGGATCCTTCCAATCCATGGCAAAACAACCACCTCTGCAGATTCCAGATGGATTGTTCTGCACTTCTACATGGTTTTTCTAGCTCAGTTTTAATTGTTTGAGGCTCCACTACTTCCTCCTTCACAGTGGAGGGCTCAATGTCTGCTTCAGGATCAGGGATTGCAGGCAACCAAGAAGGTATATGCTCTCCAGGAGGTTCTTCCCCAATTTGCAAAAAAGTAGGCCTCAACTTTCGCTCCTTGACAACTGGAAATTTGGGAACCGAGTAGGCAAATGGGATTTCTTCCGCTCGAGCTACATAACGAGCAATCTCTTTAACAGTGCCGGATCTCGCGAGACAATATTCAATATCCGAAGCACCTGCAAAGCCTTGGACAGACCCCAAATCTTCCAGTGCTTTCATTATATCCAATACATTATACTCTGTTCTGCCAGCGAAGTTAGCACAGAAGTTTGCGGCCCTTCCCATGTTATGAACATACCGAACTGCAACGTCGGCCAGAGTTTCGAGGGCAGACTGTTGAAAAGTTTGAAACCCCTCACTCTCACATATTTGGGATACAGCAATCCTGGCAAGCGCCCGTGGGAAGTCTTCACCTCCATCGCTCATATTCAAATATTCATATCAACTTATCTGCCGCAAAGATAACAACCAAAAGCACTCGCGAATGAATTCCCCGTTCGCACTTAGCTCATCGGCGGAAAAATCAAGAAAATGAGACGAAGAAATCGCCCAAGTACTTCGCTGGTGCTCATAAATCAAGACTTAAATGACAATCTATAGTAGAAAATCTTGCGCAGATGGATAGAGACAGTACAAACTTCAGTAGAACAAAGCATCACACAACTATCAACAGAAACAATCCGAAGCTAAACAACTTCGCATCTGAGATAACGCCCTAATGCGTCGGACGTTGAATTAAGAACAAAATTTGGGCTCAGAAAAACCAAAATGTCAAACAAACTATTAGAATGCTCAACTTAGTACCATTAATTGCAATGCTTGCCGTACGCATTGGAGATCGATTGAAGGAGTTGCGAAGGATTTAATCTGGAAAAATAATACGATCAAGTACCCAATTGAAAACGAAGGAAGCCCAATTGGGAACTTGATCGTTCATAACCCAACCCAACCCATGCGGGTTGGGTCAAGTTAATTGAATTTTTCGGGTCATTGAACACCCTACGGATTATCACAATCACAATTTCAAATTATTAATATTAAAATGTGGGATTAATTGGTGGATTATGAGGGTAATTATGTGAAGAATATGTGAGAGATGATATCGTGATTCACGTTGATAGAACAAAATTTTTGTTCTATCATATACCAATCGACTTCCATTTCCACGTGAAACATGCAATCCTAATCCTAAAACTTTTTCAAATAAGTCTCACCATATAAATCGCTCTAAAACCTCATCAATTCTCATCAGTTCCAGCTTCAAATCACGGCTCATATGGAGAATCTGAAGGCAAACCTGGTCAGAGTTCTGGAAGTCACCAAGGTGTCTCCGCCTCCGGCCTCACCTTCCTCCGCCGCCGATTTCTCTCTTCCTTTTACCTACCTTGATGCTCTGTTTTTAAAAATCCCTCCCACAGAGCGACTCTTCTTCTACTCTTTACCCGATCCCCAATTGTTGGACTCCAATTCCATCGTCACTCATCTCAAGCACTCCCTCTCTCTCACTCTCCAACATTTCCTCCCTCTCGCCGGAAATCTCGTTTGGCCGCCGGAATCTCCCAAACCCACCGTTCTTTACTCCCCTGGCGATGCTGTTTCCCTCACTGTCGCCGAGACTGATGCTGACTTCACCCACTTCTCTTGTACTGGAATCCGTACAGTAGAAGAGTGCCGCCCCTTTGTCCCGGAATTGCCGGCGGCGGATGATTATGTTCCGGTAATGGCTCTGCAGATCACTCTGTTCCAAAACAGGGGATTGTCCATCGGCATCTCCAATCACCACGCCTTCGTCGATGGCAAAAGCTCGATCATGTTCTTGAAATCGTGGGCTCACATTTTCAAGCACACCCAAAACAATCCCGAATCCCCCATTACTCTACCGCCAGAACTAACCCCATTTTTCGATCGGTCCATTATCAAAGACCCAAAGGGAATCGACCTGCTCTACATCAACTACTGGCTAAAAAAGACCAACCCCACCGACCCATCAATCAAAAGCCTGAAATATTTCCCAAATTTGGGAGTTTCATCAGAAATGGTGAGAGGTACATTCGAATTAACCCGCACAGACATCGAAAATCTCAGAAAATCAGCAACAAAGGAAGACGAATCACCGACCCGATTCTCATCGTTCGTTCTCGCATTCGCGTACATATCGATTTGTGCGGTTAAATCAGCGAGAATTGAACAGAAGAACAAGAGAGTGTACCTGGGCTTCTACGCCGATTGGCGGGCGCGGCTGGATCCGGTGGTGCCGACCAACTATTTCGGGAACTGCGGTGGAAGCCATGGAGTTTTTGCGGAAGCGGGGGAATTGGAAGATGATGAAAAGGGATTGGGGGTCGCATCGAAGAGGATTCATGAGACGATACAGAGGTTGGATGAGAATGTGACAAAGGGGGCGGAGGAAACTTTGTCGAAATGGGAGAAGGTGGAAGAGGAGATTAAGTTCGTCGGAGTGGTTGGATCGCCGAGATTGGGGGTTTATGGGTTGGATTTCGGGTGGGGAAAACCAGAGAATGTGAAGATGGTTTCGATTGAGAGGACTGGTTCGATTTCGTTGGCGGATAGACGAACCGGAGATGGGATTGAATTCAGTTTGGTGCTTTCTCAGCCTGAAATGCTCCGTTTTGCCTCCATTTTTTCCGATGGTCTTAGAACTCTTTAGCTTTCTTTGTACTTTCTCTTCCGAAGAAGAATAAAAACATTTCTTGTTTCATCTCATCGTGTTAGTTTGAATCTAAATGAAAATTTTGAATCAAGAATCAAGAGATTGTATGATTTAATGAGAAAAAAATAATCAACTGCTAATCCTTCTGATGTAACTCTTAAGGATTACAGTCATCAACTGTAGCTCATGTTGTTTGTCTTTTTTCCTTTCAATTTGAAAGAACTAATTAGCTAGGAGCGTAAAACAAGTAGTACATTCAACGAGCAGAGATCCCATCACCGGCATTGACACCACGAGAAGCAGGAAAACCAGCCCGAACCCGAGTTTGTGGCCGGAGACGGTGCCGTGATTTCATGAGATGGAGATGGAGATTCATGCTCTGGCGATTCCTGCTTCATTGACTGCTGCCTCTTTGTTTGCAGCTTCGTCACTGGCTGTTGTTGTGGTGTTGCACCTGAGTCTGTTGAGACGGAGCTGGTTGTTTTTGGCGTTGCACCTTCACTTGCCAATCTGATAAAAAAAAACGAGGCAGAATTCATAGCCACAATAATTCAGATTCCAAGTTCAAAGTGAAAACATTTCTAAAACAGCCATTATATCTATGACTATGATTCAGGATTGCTTACAGTGGGAACTGAAACGAATGAGAGCTATTCATGCTGTCGTTTGACACACTCTGGCGACCTCGAAGCTCATCTGTAGGTGTCGTGGTGGGTTCTTTTTGATGAACTGATATGGCTGGAATTTGAGGTCCAGTTGATGTCACTGGTTCAGCCGAGACATTCACCGTGATTCCTGTTTTACTCTCAACTCTTGGTGGTTCAACAAGAGGGGGCAGGCTGGGTAGATTCAGGGATGAATTGGGGTTCAACATCAACTCTCCAGACTTGGTAAAAAAATTGAAGTTCTCCCTTGAAAAGCTGTTGTTTCCCACATGAATACTGAACAATGATTCATTCGAAGCAGTGCTCCATTCCATAGGATTTGAAGGTTTACCAGAGAAGATCGATATAGGTATTCGGTTTGGATCATGGTTTTCAAGCACCCCCGATAATCGAATCTGAGAAGAACTCTGGATTCTACAAGAACCCAGAGACAAATTCTCCGCTGTTTGCACAGCTCCCATAAACTCGAAAACATCTGGTTTTGGTTGAAGAGCTGAGTCTCGTGACAACTCCGAGGTAGATGAACAATTGGAGTTGCTGCGATCAGGGATAACATCGGTTTCTTTATGGGCCATCTCTAATTGCTCCTTGGATTGCTTATTACTCTGTGCACAATCCATATCTGAGTTACCCAAAATCCTGCCAAGTATTTCTTATCCGAATGCTTCATAAACAGAGAAATAAACGGAAGATTCAGCAGAAACAAAGCTAAATCAATCACAACATCAACAATCTCCAGCTGACTAATCTTTAACCAAAAACTACAAATTTCCAGACACGATCTTAAGAATAACATTCTAATACTACAATCATTTAGTGAGAAAATGATTCTAAAACTAGCATTCATACTTATAACACAAAAGATCAAATACTGAACAAAGACAAAAAAAAAAAAAAAAAAAAAAA